ACTCCTGTAGCCGTAGTGCCCACCGGCCGAAACGTTCACTAGGATCTTTCAAGGGCGACAACCAGCATAAGGCGTGGTGATCAGTGACAACCATGAAGGGGCGTCCATACCAATACGGCCAAAATTTAGCCACTGCCCAGACAAGCACGAGGCATTCGCGTTCTGTGATGGAGTAATTTCGCTCTGCTGGCAATAAAAGACGGTTAGCGTATGCAATAACGCACTCGCAGCCATGCTGTCGTTGTGCCGAAACGGCTCTGATTCCGTGGTCGCTGGCGTTGGTATGCACTTCCGTTGAAGCGCATATATCAAAATGGCCGAGAATCGGCGGTGTCGCAAGTCTAGTCGTCAGTTCAACGAATGCTCTGGCTTGTTCAGGTCTCCACACAAAAGTCACATTTTTTTTAGTAGTTCCGTGAGCGGGCGTGCGACGTCAGCGAAATTACGCACAAATCTACGAAAGTAAGACCAGAGGCCCACAAAACTTCGAACGTCGTTCGCACAGGACAACACAAGAAAATCCTTGACGGCGCGGACCTTCTCAGGATTGGGACGAACACCAGAAGAATCGACAAGGTGTCCAAGGACAGTGAGCTGCCAGCGGCCGAAGTGACTTTTCGACGAGTTTAGCTGTAGCACTGCTTTGCGGAAAACCGAAAAAATTGTTGAGGGACGCTCGAGGTGAGTTTCTAAAGTTGGCGAAAAAACAATAACGTCATCAAGGTAGCATAAGCAGATTGACCACTTGAAACCGTGAAGAAGAGCGTCCATCATTCGTTCGAATGTAGCCGAGGAATAGCATAACCCGAACGGCATTACTTTGAACTGATATAGCCCGTCTGGAGTTATACACGCTGTCTTTTTACGGTCCAGATCATCAACTAATATCTGCCAGTACCCGGAATGAAGGTCGATGGAAAAGAAATAATTTGCTCCGCTAAGGCAGTCAAGAGTGTCATCTATCCGTGACAGAGGATACACGTCTTTTTTTGTAACTTTAAGATTTCTGTAGTCGACACAGAAACGCCAGCTGTTATTCTTCTTTCTCACGAGCACAACGGGCGAAGTCCAAGGACTTGAAGAAGGTTCAATGATGTCTCGGGCAAGCATCTTGTCGACTTCTTGCAGGATCACGTGGCGCTCGGTGGAGGAAACCCGATAGGGTCATCAATGTACTGGAGTTGCATCACCGGTGTTGATCCGATGCTTTACAACGGTCGTTTGACCAAGGGGTTGGTCGTGAAGATCAAAGACGTCTTGATACGACGCAAGAAGGCCACGAAGCGCAGACACATGCTCGGCCGGGAGATCAGAGACAATCATTTTAGTTATGCAGTCTAGTGTACTGCCCGACTGAATACTGGCAGATGACGGTGTATCCTCTGTTAAGGCGGATATAAGGTAGTCGCCGGCCGGGGCAAGGGATATCCCTCGTGGCAGCACTTCAGAGCAAAGTCCAAAGTTCACAATAGGGAGACATGCCACGTTGTCCTTCATTGTGATGATGTTGTGGGGGAACGCAATGAACGAACACAGAACTGTAGGATTAGGTGAAATGACATAATCACTGTCAGCCACAGGTGGATCAGAAGAGACGATATACGTCACAGCTCGACAAGATAGGCGAACAAAGTCGGCGGAGTATAAATTTGGCGGCACAGGATCAGGAGGGTCAACGGCGTGCGATAGGATGAGCTGAACAACACCAGCAGAACAGTCAATTAGGGCAGAATACTCGGACAGAAAATCGAGTCCCAAAATGATGTCATGTGGGCAGTGGTCCAGTACGTAAAACACAAAAGTGGTATGACGTCCAGCAACAGTGACGCAGGCGGCACACATCCCAGTGACCGCTGCTGTTGCACTCGGACAACAGTGATCGCAGCAGAAGTGAGCACTTTCTTGAGTTGAGCACAAAAACTGGAGTTCATGACTGATATGTGAGCGCCGGTGTCAATGAGTGCTGCCACAGAAGTACCGTCAACATTTACTTTAATCAAGTTTTTGTGTCCGGGTATCGTGTGTAGACGAATTTCGGATCGGGTTGTTGCAGCAGACTCACCTCTAGAAGCTGCGCCCGTCATCTTTCCAAAGACTAGCGGTAGGAGGGTGAGGGGGAGCGACGTCTGTTAATTGAGCGGGACATGCGTCCAGAGGGCGACGGGGAGCGGTTCGGTTGGGCGGTCCTAGATGGCGAAGCATCGTCTTGTTCCGCGTAGATCTGCATCTGAGAACCAGCAGGTGGACGTCGGGTGTTGGCATAATGCGACCATGGCTGCCAATCCCAGGAAGTGCGGCAATGAGGTGCAATATGGCCAACTCGTCCACAGTTGAAGCAGATCGGCCTGTCATCGGAAGTTCGCCATTCTGCCGAGTTCCGGTAACGTGGGCGATTGTTCGGTCCGCAAGACATATTAGGTGTACAGGGCAGTCGGTAGTCAGGTCGGTTAACGGGGCATAGCGTCTGAAGTCCGGCGTTGGCCAGTTCTTGGCGCACGACACTCTTGATCAATGAAATCGTGGCGCGAAAGTCGTCGGGGGCCCGGACTTGGTTGGACAGGGGAGATGCTGCCTCGATTTCGTGGCGCACGATGCGCACGATATTGTCGGAAGCAGCAGGGGCTGGTGACTACGGGCAACCTCACAGGTAGATGTTGCAGCCGTATTGGGAAGACGAGAGAAGTGTGGAGTGATACGGCGACTTCGAAGCGTCGGCATTCATTAATAACGTTGTCTACAGTTGATGAGTTTCGAACCACGAGGAGATTGAAGGCGTCATCGGCGATTTCTTTGAGGATGTGCGCAACCTTTTCAGATTCCGGCATCTTGTCGTCAACCTTCCGGCAGAGGGCAAGCACATGTATGTATGTAACGTACGACTCGGTGCAGGACTGGAGTCGGCACGCTAGTTCTTTCTGCGCAGCACGACGACGCCCAATGGGCTTGCCGAAGAGATCGATGAGTTTCTGTTTACAGATGTCCCAACTCGTGAGATCTTCCTCGTGGTTGGAAAACCAAACTTTAGCTGTGCCATCAAGGTAGAAAATAATATGGGCCAACATGAGCGTCGGATTCCAGTTGTACAGTGCACTCACCCGTTCGTACAGCTGAAGCCATTCCTCTACGCCAGTACTGTCACTGCCCGAAAAGGTGCCTGGGTCACGCGGTTGGGTCAGAACGACGGTGCGGTTAGTAGCGGCTGGATGCGGTGCTGTTGGTTGCTGCGTAGTTGGTCGAAGCACGGTTGGGTTAGTCTAAGAAGAATCCTCGTTCTCGTCTTGATCAGGCGTCGCACAGGCAGCCAAAGAACGTCCGCTGCGTAGAATCGTCGTGGTTGTTGACTGTAAGAAGACCCGCACTCTCCACCGAAATGTTAAGAGGAGAAGGCGTCTGAAAAATACCTTTACTTTAGGTAAACAGGCAGACATATAATATGGAGCCCAGTCTGCACGAGCTCACCTTAAACATCGTCTTCTTTCCTAGTTCATTTGTGGCACCCCGTAGCAATATGTATCCTGCAGAGAGGAAGCAAATCCATCAGGGGATATAATGGTCAAGTCTTCACAAAGATGACGGCGAGCGGGTATCACATCTTTTCGGCGTCTGCAAGCACGAAACCTGCCCAAAACCTTCCGTAGAGCTTCTACGACTAAATTGTCCCGGATGCGTTTGGCAAGCCTCGGGCTCCCCACAGGCAGCCAGCAACGTTCAACCTTAGAAAAACGAACGCCAATCGGAAGTGTGCCGCGGCGGGGGGGGGGGGGGGGGGACGACGACGAAGCAACTGGAGAAAAATCTGTGCGCTCTGGCTGGCTCTGCCAGCCCGCGGGTAGCCAGAAGTAGAAAACTGAACAGCCCCAGACTGAACACAGAGACATTTACAACTTGAATAAGGGGGCATTCCTTTACAAATATTGCTGAAGCCCACGTACCTCATCAGGATGTAAACAAAGCAAAGAACATGTCACAGTGCTGATGCGATGGGAGAGGACAAGCTTCCTTAGCTGATACTGACGAAGGCGGCGAAGCCCCGATGGTTCCGCAACACAACGATACCCAGAGACTGCACATACATAAGCAACAGATGAGCTTGGATGACCGCAACCATTTTCAAAGGCTATGTGCGCCTGCACAATTGCAAGTTTAGAGCAAAGCAAAGGCGTGTGCATGTTGTTATCGACAATTTCCCCAACCACGGCACGATTGAAAATCTGCAATCGATCAATTTGGAATTTCGACCAGCGAATATGACCGTGATATTGCAGCCCATGGATCAACACATTATTGAGACAACACAAAAATTAAAATGGAGAAGTCTTTTACAACGGATGCTCGTGTATGATGCCAACAAGGGATACAGCATTGATGTACTTGGAGCAGTGCATTTATTATGCCATTCATAAAAACAACTATGCAGAAGACACTGCCGATGACTGCGAGGACTGCGATGATCTCTAAGAAGCTGTGAAAAGCATCATTGGCGCAGATCTGGAAGGCAACTGTGAATCATTCATGATGGCTGATGCAGATGTATCGGTCGTTGCCCAAGGTACGTATGCCAAAATAGACTTGCTTGGAGGCCCCGATCAGGAAGGTGAACCATTAGACAAAAATCCTCGCAAAATAGAAACAGCGGCACAAGCACAAGAGAGCCTTCGTCTGTTGCGAAATAGAGTGGAGTGCTTAGGCGGTGACTACGACCTCACAATTTGCCTGAACCGAGGCAGGCCCTCCTCGCGCCCAGCTGAAGCACCCGACGAAGCTAGCTGACCGACTTTTTTTATGCATGAATAAAAGTTTGTTTCACTGAATACCACTTCGGTGAAGTTGTCATGGTTAATTTAGCTGTACTTGCTGAGCTTTTATAATGCAGTCACATACGGTATATCAAACTACTACTTATAGTATTAATTTTGATGCCATCTTGTTGATTTGGTTATAATAAAGGTTTACTGTAAGATTTATCCGTCTAAGTCCGTAATGAACAGGGGGCTCCCTACTGGTGTCAGCTTGGCCTTGAAACTGTCTGGGATGAGCAGTGTGCGTGGATTGAACTCCGGGTGGCTGGCCAAGCGCCCAGCAGCATCCCTGCAAAACAGAACAGATGGTCACAAGAAAGACTACGCCTTCCTAGGCATGCATGGCCAGGTTCTTAGGACACAAGCAGCAAGAGGACGACAAGCTTACCAGAGGTGTAATAAGTGACGAGCACCTCATTTCAATTAATCTATGAACCGGCGAAGCTTTTGCTAGACGGCCTCCCTTAGTTGAGGGAGAGGGCTAAGGGAGGCAGTCGTTGCCCTGCAGCCAACACATGGGCTCCGGCAACACAGCGGGTTCTTTCCCCTCTTCAAGCTTTCCTCTTTCCAAGCCTTGCTTGAATAGCCAACACAACTGTCCATTCAGACAAGGACAATAAGGGGGAGCTCTCAGTTCCACTAAGCTGCAATACATCACGACCAATGTCATGCCTTTTTCAACCCACAACTTAGCATCAGCATGAGAAATGTTAAATGAGATAAAGTAGCTTACCCAGTTATAAGATAGTTCAGATTTTCAGGCATTCTGAGAAAGATCACTTTTTCTTATGCTGTCGTGCATTTTGCACTAAAAATAAATAACTTTGTTAACAAGAGATGATGGGATGACCACAACCATGCGTACAGGCCCATTCCAGGAATGAAAATGAGAAACTCTGGACTGAACAGGAGGCTAAGAAATTTTCATTTCTGTCATAAATTTATTTTCTGCATTCATTTCCCTGTGTGCGTGCTCAATATGAACCAGGGCATATTTTGTCCTTTTTATGGAGCAGTATCTTAATTATTATATTTTTTTTAGGCAATGTTGAGAAAATCTGGCATGTGATTTCACAGTTTTTGCCAATTGATATATAAAAAGTGATCATCTGCGATCCCAATCAGACTTACCCATGGTCAACAATAGTACCAATAATTATGGTTATTATCATCATATCTGGGGCTTTATATGCCAAAACTTATGCAGCACAACATAACGGAGGGCTCGAAAAATGTCAACCAACCATGTGATCGTTGCACTGACATCACACATCAGCATTCACCTTGATTTAAAACCTGAGATAGAACCCGTAAAGCAGCCAAGAACTCCGCTACGGTCATCAACCATGAGTGGTTGTCTGTTACTATACACAAAATCATGTTGAACAACTTTCAAGAAAAAAAGAATGACCTCACCCACCTCTCTACCTAGCTGGATAGTTTTATTCTGACTATAAGAAAAAGAAATTAATAGTAATGCTATTCTGAATAAAGAAACCAGCAGCTCAAATGCAGAGAACAACCTGTAATTGCCAGTTTTCTTTTTTTTTCATATACCGTATTTACTCGCGTAATGAATGCACTCGCGTAATAAACACACCCCCAACTTCAGTCATCAAAATTTGGATTTTTTCTTCGCCGCGTAATAAACTCAACCCTTACATTCATCTGCTGCAGTCCCGCTAACCGACACCTGGTGCCTCCTCACTCGTTAGATCTCTTCCCTTTTTGATTACTTTGCCAACCCACATCAACCACCTCGGCTCGCTCCCCCCCTCTATTCGCCTGTTGCCGGGTGCCTGTTGCGGTATTGCATTTCTTTCTACCCGTAATAAACGCATCCCCTACATTCATCTGCTGCAGTCCCGCTAACAGACATCTGGCGCCTCACCCGTTGGCTCTCTTCTATTTTTTATTACTTTGCCGACCCCCCTCAACCACATCGGCTTGCTCCCTCCCCCCCCCAATCGCCTGTTTCAATGTGCCTATTGCTTTTCTTTCTTTCTGTGCGCCGCACATGCCAGGAATCTTATCTGTGTGCCACAGCGGAGTTCCCGGGCATTGCGAGTGTAAGTGTAAAGACATCGCAGCTGATAAGCACACAGCCAGCAAAGGTCCCAAACTGCTCGCGCCAATCGAGTTTCCTGCGACCCCCCACCTTCTTTTTTAGCCTACTTTCTTTTTTCTTCATTCTAACTGTCCCTTCATTCCCCGTTCCCCTGTAAGTGCAAGCTTTTGGGCGATCACAAGCATATACCACTGTTACTGTTAAACGATTGTGAGAAATGACAGTCGCAAAGCATTTTTTATGTTTTTATGGCGTGCGCGGGCGGCCCAGGGACAGTTTGCAGAAGATAGCGTCATCAACCACCAAAGATGAGTAAAGTGCAACAAAGAAGCTGTTTCCAAACAGTGTACGCATATGTAAACTGCGAAAAGCTAGGCGACCTAACTTTTTTTGCATCACCGCATTTTTTCCTTCTCCCAAAAATGTTTTCATAAGCTTTACCTCTCGTAATAAACGCACCCCCCAAGTTTGCTCCAATTTCTCGGGAAAAAAAAAGTGCGTTCATTACACGAGTAAATACGGTATAACAAACAAACTCGCACAGCAAGCCATGCTGCTCAATAGTGATGCCCACACTGCAGTTTGCTTCACAAAATCGGGAACAACTTCTCCAGACGGCACAGTGGAAGTGACCCAATGAAAGTACATGCCTGCTATCACACTAAAAACTAGAACTTTCTGATAATTTTCTATCTTGCTCAGCTGAAACAAACTTCGCTTCATCTATAAATAATGAGAACTGGCCGACATAATAATCTGTCATTTTCAATTATTGTTGCGTTCATTTGTTTGACACTCGAGCAGTTGTGGAAAGCCACAGGTAAAATACAAATATAGTTCACTTTGAAATCATGCCTTCGCTTTCCATTTCTTTAGCACGGCCATTTTCTAAATTAAGTAAGGTGTCCATGGCAAAGTGAGTCAGTGTGCAGCTCCAGTCATGCTGTTCAGTTCTTAAAAACAATGATAAAACAGGGGTGTTGTACTTCGAGGAAGATTTAGAATCTGCTTGGCGAAAGGTTCTTTACTAGGTAGGCTTTTATGCAGGCGAGTTGATTGATATGTGGGGTTTAACGTCCCAAAACCACCATATGATTATGAGAGACGCCGTAGTAGAGGGCTCCGGAAATTTCGACCACCTAGGGTTCTTTAACACGCACCCGAATCTGAGCGCACGGGCCTACAACATTTTCACCTCCATCAGAAATGCAGCCGCCGCAGCCGGGATTTGATCCCGCCACCTGAGGGTCAGCAGCAGAGTACCTTAGCCACTAGACCACAGCGGCAGGGCTATACAGGCGAGTTGGAATAAGAGCGACAACCGTAGCGGCCGATCGTCGTCGTCTTCTGTAGTAATGGCTCCACTACTACAGAAGCGCCAGTCATTCACATTCAGTACAATTATTCCACGAAAAATAAGGAACACCCTGGCGACCTAGAGACCAGTAAACACGGGAGGATCATAGCACTGCTTGAGTCTGAACACGTGGACAATTTGTTGGCTGCGACGGCAATGGTCAGAAGATGGTTACAGTGGCTCGATGAAGTAGTTGATCAATAATGTTCTAATGAGTATGCAATATGGGCCGTGGTATTTTCGGGACTAACTTGGTTGGCTAGGCCAGGTGTAGCAGAATGGACACACAGTCAGACCAGCAAACCTGGATCGTAGAAAGTAGTGTTAGGGAATGCGTTGTGGTGGTGCTTCTGGGGCTTTCGATCTCGTGTTGTGAATGACCGTGCCAGCTGGTGGCATTCTTCGGCGTATGTAGCGGCTTGGGACAAAGTCGTGGGCTCTGAAACGTCAGGTCTGTACAAAAGAATGGTGTCCATCTATAAAAATGAAAAAAAAAGGGGGGGGGGGGGAATCCAGTAGTGTTTTGAATGGTGGAATTACAGGCAAACGTAATAAACGTTAGAACTGAGTCCCAATTGGAGTGCTCTAACAAGATGTACAGAGACAGCATGTCACCGAGGGTGCGGTTGAATCGTTCTGTCATTCCATTAGTTTGGGGATGATAGGCGCTTATATGCAGTGAACAGTGCAGCATTCACGCAGCAATGCCGTGATGGCCTCTGAGAGGAACACACTACCACGTTCAATTCCTATTGAGGTGCTCTATGACGAAGGACGAGATTGTGCAGAATAAAATCACGTCTTTGACTGTAGATGAAGGAAGGGGTGCAGTTTCGGTGTACCACGTGAGATGATCGACGGCAACGATGTCCCAATGGTTACAGTCTGCCGTGCTGGGAAAGAGGCCGTAGATGTCAAGACCGATGCGGTTGAATGGTCAATGGGGGCAGGGCAAAGTTAAAGTTAACAAGGTGCCAGTGGCGTGTTGAGGGGGAGCCTTGCATCTCTGGCACGTGAAACAAGCCCAAACATACTGCCAAACGAAATGGAACATACCACGGCATTAATAGAGGAGGCTGATGCGTGAGAAAGTCTTTAGGCAACCTGCGTGGCCGCATCAGGGATCGTCAAGAAACGTGGAACAAATTTCGGACTGCAAGTGATGTAGAATGACGAGTAGCCATTGACAGCCATCGGGTGTGTAGTTTTTTCGATGCAGCATGTTTTCGCGAATGGTGAAGTGCTCGGCTTGCAGACGCAACATGTTAGACCTAAAAGCGGTCCAACCAGCCAGGATGTCCAGAATGAAAGCAAGCCACGAGTCCTTGCGTTGCTCGGATGGCATGTCAGAGATAGTGAGGGCAGTGGGATCACAGATAGGACTTGTGCAGTAGGCCGAGTCAGGAGACAGGGGCAAACGGGAGAGGGCGTCGGAGTCAATGTTTACAGCCGAAGTGATACATCACGCGGACGTCGTACTCTTATAGGCCCGATCAACCAAGGCGACCACTTGGATCCTTAAGTGACGACAACCAGCAAAGCGCGTGGTGGTCACTCACCATATGGTCAGTGACGAGCAGTACTATCGACATGGCTAGTAATACCTGCTTTCGTCCTGTGCAGGCTGCCATCGTATTCCTGCTGGCACTATCAACGAACACCCTCACCGACTTGGAATGCATTTTTGCATCTACCTGACACAAGCCGCGCCTGCATCGCTCTCGACGAATATTTTCCAGCTGTGGTGTCTTCAGTAAGATCATCTATTCAACAGCCGTATCGACGACTGGATCAACAACCAAGGCGTACTTCAACATCTTCCCTGCAAACTTCACCTTCAGTGGGCATTGGAGGAGCACTATCG